CATTTTATTGGGGGCTCATACCATTCTTATCACAAGCCATCCATCCATCCACTGTGTCAAGCACATTTGTACATTTCTTGCCCTCATCTGCAATGAAATGCTTGCTGGTCTGCTTCACAAAAAATCATCCATTGAAAACCTGTGGACCACAGTTTACTTGACACACTTTGGGGATTGCCAAGAACCAGAACTGACTCAATGGCAACTGGTTTCTATGGGCATGTAAAAGCCTTCATTACTCTTTATATAGTTTTAAAAATATTTTTTATTGAGATATAGATGGAAGTTATTTTTTAATGCTGTATAGTATTCCATTGCTTATCCACTCATCTATGAATGGGTGCTTAGGTTGTTTCCTTCTTTATGCTATTGCAAATAATGCTATGGCAAACATTTTGTTGTCTCTGGATCCGTCAAGTCGGCTTCAACTCATAGAGAATAGTGTGTAGAATGAAACAATTCCCAATCCTGCCCCACCTTAAAATATTTTGTATGTTTTAGCCCAGTGTTACATGAAATGAGGTCTTGCTGTGTCCTTGAGCATTGATTGTAGATCTAACTCAAATGCAATGCTTGACAACTTAAGTATTTTCTCTTTTCATCATGATGTTGCTTATCGGTGCTAACAGTTTATTTTATAAACAGGCTTTGGTTTATTGTAAAGAAATAGTAATCCCTAGAAGGTGAGACAAAGCATAATTAACATGTAAATGGAGTACACACTAGGATTATGCAGCAAAGAAATGGGTTAAATTATAACTAAGAACTTCTATGTTAGCCCTTGTCATCTTCAATACCAGAAAATTATTGAAGGTTAAAAGGGAGGCCGTCATTCACTCCTAGGTACATACCCAGGAGTCTTTAATAGCAGGGATTCAAATATATGCAACAGTGTTCATTGTAGCAGTATTCACAATTGTCAAAAGGTGAAAATAACAACAGGTGAATGAATAAGCAAAATATAGGTTCTGCATACAATATACTCTGACTCAGCCATAAAGAGATCCTAGGGCATGAATGATCCATGAAAACACTGTACTGAGTGGAATAAGTGAGACATCGAAGGGCACCTGCCATGCAATTTCATTGCTATGAAATATCTAGAATAGGCAAATACAGAGACTAAAGTTTACTAGTGGTTACCAAGGACTTGGGGGAGTAATTAATATAAGGGGGTATCACATAGTTCATGGGAAAATTCCATTTTCCCCACAAACTTTATGAAGCCCTTTCAAGAAGTTATTTTCCATTTTCCCCACAAACTTATGAAGCCCTTTCAAGAAGTTATTGCTGAAGGAACATTGAAGGAACTGTCTCTCCCAGTAGTGTAGTGGTTATGCATTAGGCTGCTAATTGTGGAGTCTTTAGTTTGAAACCATTAGCCACTCTTCGGGAGAAAGATGAGGCTTTCTACTCGTGTCAAGTAGTCTCAGAAACGCACAGGGGCAGTTCCACCCTGTCACAGAGTGTCGACTCAAGGGCAGCGAGTTTGATTTTGGTTTGGTTTGAGGTGATAACAACACTTTCAGAAATGGATAAGTCATGAGGTTGACGCCTCACTTAATGGCTGCTTGTTTGAAAACAAGCCTTTAAGATCCCAGACACTATTCTTTCTGAAAGCTGGGTGCCCTCTAGTTTCTTCACCACATTTTGCTGTATAGCACCTATATCTTCAGTGATCTCTTCATGAGGGCAAGCATCAAGCAGGGCCAAGTTCTAAGAACTAATTGTTTTTAGATTGGGGCTAGAATTAAGTGCAAGCTCCAAATCCATTTGCGAGGTTTCCCAAGTAGGTAATACTTCGGTTCTTGACTTTGCACAAGAAGGAATTCACACCAAAGCCTGGTTTGTGATTGAGTTAGTTAATTGTGCCAGCCTGGCCGATAATCACACGTGGGTCTGGTTGAAAGGCGGAGGGATAAATGGGTGGTGAAGCCTCGCCTTTCTAGTTCTCGGGTCTCTTGTTTTGTGATGGTTGTATCGGGTGCAGCTGCCTTAGCAGTTCCCTGCTTCAGCTTGCAAGATTGATTTCCTACAAGACATCCCCAAGGAGAAGCCGCATGGATCTATCCCGATGCAGCCCTGGGTGCTGGAGCAGCCATGTGGAGACCCCTGCCAGTGCTGAGATGCTTACACGTTCACTGACTCAGCTTTCCTCCTGCAGTCGGCATTATTGCCTCTGTTTTGTGAGGTGAAGGACTTTGTGGACTGGTGTTGGGTATGAGTTAATGTTGGACTTGTGGGCTTGGGCAGCATTGGGTTGGGATGTTTTTGTGATGCACATTTTCTTTGCATAAAACTCTCTCTTATACGTGAGTTGCTGTGGATTTGTTTCTCCAAAGTACCTAGACTAATGCAGTGATCAAGTGAGTTTTTATGAAGGACGGGAGAAACTTCAGGTTTTACATTCTCAAAAGAGCACACGCTACTTCAGGGAAGCGTGCCAAACCATGCAGAAACCGTGCTGGGGCACAACTGGACACTAGCAACCTCGTGGAACAGCGTGCCCAACTGAGGCTAGAGAGAGTGCAGCCAGGCACAAGCAGGCGCTGGGGCAGGATAAAAAGGGAATAGAGGGAGAGGCTGCGGGCCTCAAACAGGCTCAGCGTGGGCTCATGTGGGTCCCAAGCAGGCCCAGAGAGGCCTCCTTCCTCCACCTGCCTCTGACCAGGAACAGAGTAAGAAGAGACTGGCCTTCCTACTGCCTTTGGCTGGGGGAGGCGTGGTTGAAGGTATTAGTTGACCCCATTGGCTGAATGAAGCCCACCTGGGCCTGGTTTGGGCCCCCAGGTGTAACGCCCACCTGAATGCATGGGAGGGGGCTGAATTGGAGCATGCCCAGTTCAGGGGTCTTCACGGGTGGCAAATGCTTACCTAATTCCTTCCTAACCCCCAATATGGGGTCTGTACAGGCATGGGAGGGACAACCCCCTTTCCCTATCCTGGCTACCTACCACTTTCATGCATCTATAGTGTATATATGTATATATGTCTCTGGTTCATCTTAAAGACATCATTGTCATTTTATGTTAGAGAACATCATCCCCTTGGGCCATCACTTCCACTGCCAGCAAGTCTGTAGACTCATAGCTACCTCTTATTAAGTTGAAGTTTTACAAAGCACTCACTCAGTTATTAGCAAGGAAAACCATCCATCTTCACTTCAAGATATTTATATATGTGGTTGCTCATGTCTTACACCAGCAATTTGGACAATGGGTTTTGAGCTACTGTGCCATGTGGAGATTCTGCTCTGTTTCTGCCAGTCAGTGGAGCATTCTTTGCACCCAGGCACTTACTGGAGGCCTAGAGCTGTGAACACGTCTATGTTGCTACTGGAGACCTCAACAGCTCTAGATACACAGTGGTGTAAGATATAGCCGTCAGTCTCGCTTCATCAGCTGGTCTTTCGATTTGTCAAATAGGCTTTTTATTTTATACAGATTTTCTTTCATAAAGACTTTTCATTTATACTTTAACCTCTGAGAAGAGTTTTATTTCTAGAGCACAGGGGCAACTGATGCTACGTTTTCAGATCACCTGTGGGACTGTGCGAATGAAAGCAAAACAGTGGTTCCTGGCCCTTTACCTTTTTTTATGAAAAGCATTCTAAATGATTATTATTCCTGGATTATATGCCTAAGTCCCTTTAAAACTTAAACTGTTACCACAAATATACATAATACATTTGTATTCCATTTATTCTTGTTTTCTCTGAATGCAAATGAGCACACCTTTTCCATTTATGTTAAAAGTAGTATACCATTGCATTAGGTTGGTCTCTTTAGTATTATTTGTGACTTCTAGTTTTATAATGAAGAAGCGATGGGTTAAGTATTGGGTTGTTAACTGTAAAATCAGCAGTTCAAACCCACCAGACACTTGTAGGTAAAAAGATGAAGCTGCCTGCTCCCCCCAAAATTTACAGACCCAGAAACCCTAAGAAACTTTCCTACTCTGCCTTACAGGGTTGCCATGCATTAGAATCTACTAACAGCAGTGGATTTGATTTTAGATTTCTTAATCCAATTGGTTCTAGTCAAACTATGCGAATAATTTTTTTAAATTATCTAAGGCTCACAGTGAACTTGTGATTTGTCAGCAGGTTGTTATTTAGTCACCAAGTTTATCAGTTCATTTGCATGAGTTACAAGTTCTAGAAAACCCAATTCAAGGTGACTTAGATAATGAATGGGTCAATAAAGGCTTGTGTAAAGGAAAAGCCAGCAATAGGCCTCAGGGCTGGGCTGATTTAGCAGTTCAACACAGCCATTAAGAAATTATTTTCTGGGGTGATGGCAACATATGTACAAATGTGCTTGACACAGTGGATGTATGGATGGTTATAAGAGCTGTAAGAGCCCCCAATAAAATGATTAAAAATAAAAAAGAAATTATTTTCCTTCTCCATTCACTGGCCTGTGATGGCAAGGTGGTTACCAGGTGTTTCCAGTTTAAGATGCATTCATTTAAGTTCAGTGACCCTTCAGAAGCTTGGCTGGAAAACCTGTCCTTTTTAAAAAAAAACAGTTTTATTAACACTTCATCCACATGCCATTCAATTCAATAATTCAGTCATCTCAAGAAGAGTTGTACAATTATTACCACATTCAATTCTAGAACATTTTCTTCTTCCCTGTACTCGTTATTCATGTAATTTTTTTCTTTCTACATGTGGCAAAAATGTACACAACAAAACATTCTTCTTTGGCTCTTGTTTTGAGGCATTCTTCCACGTCCCAGTCCAGCATCTACGGCTGGGGATGGAATTATCCGGACTAGACCCAAAACAGGCGTTGGCTTCCTCCAAATTCTAGATCTGGGGGAGCAGGTCCAGAAACCCCAGTAGAGCTAGGTGGTCGTCTAATAGAAGGGGGAATGAATGGAGAGTGACAGCCACAGTGTTCATGGCGCCGTATTGTAGAAACCCATTTGTTTTTCATTGATAAAGCTGTTTGAGTTTTCCGCTTCCCTCATTGTTTTCTTCCTTTTCACTTTAGGGGCTGCTGCACCAGCCAAACGGACAGGCATCCCAGCGCCCCGCGAGCTTTCCACTGCAGTCCCGAGAGAGAAATCCGTGCAGCGTGGACCCTCCAACCCCAGGAAATCAGTGTCCAGCCCATCTTCTTCTAGCACGCCCACGCCTACCAAACACCTGAGGACCACCTCCACCAAAGCCAAGCAAGAGAGCGACGCTGCCGAGAGGGCCGGCCTTGAGGCTCACGTCCGAGAACTGTTGGCAGAAGCCAAAGCAAAAGATAGTGAAATCAATAGGCTTCGGAGTGAACTAAAGAAATGCCAAGAAAAGAGAGACTGGACCAGCGAAGAAACTGGTGCTTTGGACCAGAATGTCGATGCCATATCTATGTCATCAGGTGACACAGAGCCTTTGATAAGAGCCCTGGAGGAGAAGAACAGGAGTTTTCAGAAAGAGCTTTCTGATCTACAGGAAGAAAACCGGTCCTTGAAGGAGAAACTGGTCTACCTTGAGCAGTCACCAAACTCCGAAGGAGCAGCAAGTCACACGGGTGACAGCAGCTGCCCAACATCTCTGACTCCAGAGTCAAGCTTCGGAAGCCGGTCTGGGAACCAGCTTTCAGGTGAAATCGATGAGTATAAAAAACACACACATGCGAATGCTTTAAGGACATCGGATTCTTCAAGTAGCGATGTTACCAAAGCTTCCTTGTCACCAGACGCCTCCGATTTTGAGCACATCACAGCAGACACTCCTTCTAGACCTGTGTCTTCCAATAGCAACCCCTTTAAGAGCTCAAAGTGTTCTACCACGGGGAGTTCTCCCAACAATGCCAGTGAGTTGTCTCTGGCTTCCCTTACCGAGAAGATCCAAAAGATGGACGAGAACCAGCACAGCATGGCCGAAGAACTGCAGGCCACTCTGCAAGAATTGTCAGATCTGCAGCAAATGGTGCTGGAACTGACAGCTGAAAGCGAGAAGCTGGCAGACCAGAAGACACTTCTGGAGACATCCCTTCATCAGCATCGCGAGAGAGCAGAGCAGTTAAGTCAGGAAAACGAGAAGCTGCTAAACCTTTTACAAGAGCGCGTCAAGAGTGAAGAGCCCAGTGTCCAAGAAGGAAAGATCCTTGAGCTGGAGCAGAGATGCGCAGATATTCTTGACCAGGGGCGCTTTGAAAGAGAGAAGCTGCTCCTCATTCAGCAGCAGCTGACCTGCAGCTTACGAAAGGTGGAAGAGGAACACCAAGGAGCGTTAGAAATGATTAAACACCTGAAGGAGGAAAACGAAAAACTGCGTGGGTTTCTAGAACTGGAACGACACAATAGCAGTGTGGTGGCCAAAACACTGGAAGAATGTAAAGCCACCTTGGAAGGGCTAAAGATTGAAAACAGATCTTTAAAGTCTCAGTTGGAGAGCGAGAAACAAAAGGCCGGAGGAAGCAGTCCCGTGGCGCAGACAGCAGAGAACTGTGACGTTCAGGAACTGTTGAAATTAGCTCGAGCTGAGAAAGAGCAACTGGAACTGTCTTGTAGGGAGCTCAAACAAGAATTACTGAAGGCAAATGGTGAAATTAAACACGTGTCGAGCCTGCTAGCTAAGGTAAGAAAAGAGATCTCTTTACCAGTATTTGATCATCCTGGTTAGATTTCTCTCATTGGTCTTTAAATTCATAGAGCAGAAAGAACTGTGTGCTCAATCCATTTCATTCTTCAATCCAGCATTCAAGCTTGAAGACTGGTTAGATTCCAGATGGATGGATATTGAAGATCCAGAGATGAAACTCCCAAATATGTGACTATTGACAGATGCACACATAGTAGAGACATAGGGGACCCAATTCATGATTTTTATGTGATGATCAGGAATGTCATCGAAGACAGCCCAAAGTCAAATGCAGAGCAGGAAGATCAGCTGTGGTTGATTTGATTCCAATCTTGGCCCCCCTGGGAGGGGGGTGCCAAAGTCTACCTGGGCTCTGTGGGTTTTCAGTGCCGGAGGTTTCTGAAGTACATCACCAGACCTTTCATCTGGCTGTACTCAAACCTCCAACCTTCCCGTTTGCAGCCTAGGACCACTAGGGGAAATCTACTTCTGAATAAAAGTCAGCCCCTGAACACCCTATGGAGCACAGTTCTACCCTTGACACACACAAGGTCAGCATGAGTCAGAACTGACTTGATGGCAGAAAAGGGACACTTCATATGATACCGGGGGAAGGGTGTAGGCCAAGGGGACTACTTTGGGGAAGATGAGGTAACTAGCTGATTTGTGAAGACCTAGTGAGGAAGTAGCCAGGTTTTTAAGATGCCGTGGCTGCTAGCAGCAGAAATTTTAAATTGTCCAAATCTCCCGACTAAGTGGTACTGTGACCTCTGCCAATGCTTTCTTCCAGACACAGGCATGTGAGTGTCTCCTAAGTTAAAATGAAAAGAAAAGGGCAACCTATTTTAGAATCATCCTCTTCAACATTTTTTTGCCATTACCATTTTTTAGCATAATCTCATCATTAGATATTCTTTAAAAGAAGACTTTAAAAGCCAGATAGAAACTAAAAACCAGACATGTTGCCGCTGATTCCATTAAGACTCATGGTGACCCCGTGTATTACAGAGTAGAACTCCGTAGGGTTTTCTTGGCTGGACTCCACTTGATGGCCACAGGTAAGTAATCTTTATGGAAGATCTCCAGGCAGGCCTCTTTTTTCCATGGTGGCTAGGTGTGGGCTCAAACTGTCAACCTTTACATTAGTAGTCCATCACGAAGTCCTGTTGATACTCTATCGTATAGCTATTTCATAGTTTGCTTGCCCCTATTTTTAAACATTTTTCTTCTTTTGGTCCTTCAATATCACAAGTGCTTGTTTTTCTAGCTCTCATTATTTCTTTAGGATAAATTCCCAGACGTTGACTTACCAAGTGAGATGGAATGAGCATTTGAAAGACTTGCAGCACACGTAGCCAGATTGCCCTCCAGAAAGATTATGTCAATTTGTTCTCTAGTAATTCATGACAGTGCTTGTTTCTGAGCCTTTGCCGGCACCTGATATTAAATTAAGTCATTAAAATCTCTTAATCATTTCCTTTTGTTTTCTTTCTTTTTCACTTAGAATGGCTTTCTTTCATTCGTTTAGTAATCCTTTAATAAACCTGGAATTCTGTCATCTGATGTAAGTGGTGGTGATCATAGCAATGGTATGATATCCTGCCTACCTCACAGAGTAGTGCTGAAAAGATAGAAAGATATGACTTCCTGTGCTCTGTTTCTTGTGGACTCCGGGCACGTGAGGTAGGGACCAGCCAGAGGGAGAGATTAAAAGATCTTCCTACGTTATATTGGGGGGGTCACTGTTTCAAGAAGCAAATTGGAGCACCCTGAGAGATATTCCTCCCCTGTTTCACCTGCCTTAGTTCCAACAAAATTCTGGTATTAGGCTCTGGTCGTCTTAATGCTGGCTGTGTTGGTTGTTGTTAATCACTGTGTGTGTTTAAGTTCATATGTGTTTTGTCGAAAGTCAAGAAGCAGTTTCATTACAGGACACTAGCCAGGTGGTCATTTAAACGGTGCATTGATAAAATTATAGCCTTGTATTGCGTTTTAATATCTTGAGAAATAAACCCCTCTACCAAAAATTATTCTTAGGGGTCCCTGAGTGGTGCACATTAACAAGTTCAGCTACTAACCAAAATGTTGGAGGTTTGTCCACCCAGAGGAATCTTCAAAGAGCACCCTGGCAGTCTGCTGTCAGAAAATCAGCTATTAATATTTCTATATTCAGCAAGGAGCCCCGGTGGTGTACTGCTTACTAATTGAACTGCTAACTACAAGGTCGGCAGTTCGAAACCACTAGCTGCTCCTCAAGAGAATGATGAGACTGTCTACTCCTATACAGTTACAGTCTCAGAAACCCACAGGGGAAGTTCTACCCTGTCTTATAGGGCCACTGTGAGTCAGGATCAACTCCATGGCGAAATCCCCGTGGAAATCAACTCTGTGGGGGGAGGTCACAACTCTACTCTGATACACATGGATCATCATGAGTCAAGGTTGATTCCTTAAGCAATTGGTTTCTATTACTCTCCTGTGCAATATTTAGCCTCTTACCTGACCTTCTTGAAGTTCTGCCTCAGTTTGTCTTGTCTCTGGTTGTTTAAGTGCCATTGAATTAAACATATGTATCCTTGAGAAATGTTTCAATATCCAAATAGCATATTTTTATCATAAATTATATATTTATTACCAAGCCCTTAGAAAACACACAAATAATATGAGGGGGTAACCCCCACAAACCCGCAATCCCCCCAAAAGCTATGTGCTTAAATTTTTTTTACAAAACAACCTTATCACTTTCAAAGTACTCTCCATTACACGTAATACATTTTTTAAATCTGTGATTCCATTCTTGGAAACACTTTTCAAAGTCATCTTTTAGGATTGCTGACAGCACCTCCCTCTTTTTTTATTTCCTTCACCTCTTAAACGTGGTCAAATCGCTGTCCTTTCATTTCCCTCTTCATTCTCAGAAACAAAAAGAAGTCGCAAGGAATGAGGTCAGGTGAGTCAGGTGCATGGGGCAAGAGAGGTATACTGATTTTTGCCCAAAATTGGCACACTGAGATGGCTGTGTGAGCAGGTGCATTGTCCTGGTG